GAAAATACCCAAAACTCCACCGAATTTCAAATTAATTTCTTCGTAGATTGTTTTAACATTTAGATATTTATCAAATCTTAACCTCCCAAATATGCACGTTAAAGTAACGCGAACTGACAGCGTCTAATAATTTGAATGAAACCTGTCGTGTAATTTATTGGGGTTATTGTAACGTCTTCCTTAATGTAGTCCTTATCACTCACCACTTAACCACCTTTATCTAGAGACGAGACGCGTTAGATTTGAGCAACATCCAGCCGACACACTGGGGTTAAAATAGGAAACTAAAATGATACATATGACACACTCATATCCTCTCTCCCCACCTCACTTCCTCACTTCGTTAACTTTGCGTATACTTGATGAGGTCCGTAAAAACGTGTGAATTTCTTTTTCATTTTTCATTTCAGCTTTTGGAAGTAAGTCTGATGATCCAGAACCCTGTTAAAGGGGTTATGGTGAAATAGCTTATTACATGGAAAACTTAACGTAGTCTGTCTTTTATTCATATATATATATATATATATATATATATATATATATATATATATATAGGAATCCATCGATTATTGCATTTTCGATTAGTGCTCTTTTATATAACAAAAATTCTATTAGTTTATACATAACACCCGATCAATGCAGTAAAACATTTTCAATTTAACCATTGCAATTGAAAATAATTTGTTTATAGTTACCGGTTAATTAAAAATTGTCTAAAATTTCAAAATGGAATATGGCTATTTTGTTTTTCAAGTATTACGTTATCTAAATAATTAGAATATTGTTTTAGAAAAAGTGGACGTTTATAAATTGATAAATTTTATTAAATAAAACCGATAATAAAAATACATATTTAACACCTCTAAAAAAAACCATCCATCTACCTAAGTTATGTAGATGATATTCTCTTTGTAAAAAACCCTTGAAGATGATTTTGCAGGAGAGAGAAATTAATAGGTTATGAAAAAAAAACTACGACGCCTTCCTTGATGAATTTCATCTTACCATGAAGAATCTCATTAGAGAACTGGAAAGGTTTATTAATAAAAATAAATAGACATAATATGTCTATATTATTCAATGAAACATGTTTGAAGATAACTAGTGATATTGTCATTTTAGTTATATATATATATTAAAATATTTATCTATATTAATTTTTTTTTAACATATTTGATATTTTTATATTTATATTTTATGTTTATACAGTAACCCTCTTATTTAAGTAAATGCTCTGTTTATAATAAACAGTATTAACAACATTTACAGGCCTGAACGTCCAAAAAATTTCATAGAAAACATGCGTCCTCCGACAGGATTCGAGCAGATATGAAGGTTCGAGAGAAATCATGGGAAGTTTTATAGTTTAAAAAACAATAAGTCGACCAGACGCTTCCTTCGTAGCTAAGCTGGTATAGCACATCAGGCTGCATGACGGGTCCGTGTATGATACAGTTTCAATTCCTGTCGGAGGACGAATATTTTCTATTAAATTCATCGGGCATTCAGGCTGTTAAACAGTAACCCTCTACCTTCAGTGCCTCTTGGGCATTGTATTCAATGAAAAATTAAGAATAAAAAGAAACAAATTATTATTTACATTGTTGCGACTACTGTCCAAATTTTCGTTGCTATATTCACGAAATTTCGAGACGCTGTACGACCCGGCCTTCTTCAGATGATTGGAATTTTGAAATGTACCGTTTATTTCGTCCACAGAGGTTGATTGACAAAAAAATGATAAAAAATTTCATTCATTAATGTCCTCAAGGCCCAGTATATATATATATATATATATATATATATATATATATAAACATTGGTTGAATCCAGTGACTCAGGCCAAAGATTTGTGAGTTCGATACCTGGCTACAGCAGAGGTGAACAAAAAACTTGGAGAGTTGAGATAAAGAGAGACAAGTGATAGTGAGACATCCGGAAGTGGCATGGTACGTGGAACAAGAACAATTTATCCCGGTGGACGAAATAAGAGGTTCAGTCCGAAATTTCAATCAACTGAATGTAGAAGGTCAGAGAGTACAACGTCCGAAACGACGTGAATATGGCAAAAAAAAAAAAAAAATGAGGACAACAGTCCAAACAGAGTAAATGATTACAATACATCATCTTAAAAATATAGAGGAAAATTATAAATTATCGCAAGTATAAATTCTCTAATCGAGGAAGTTTTTTAAAACTGCGAATAATTTTTGCATTCGTTTTGCTTTCTTTTTTTTTTTTTTGCTCTTCCGTAACATGAAGTTTTTTTTTGTTTTTTTTGTTTATTTTCATTCTGTATTTCTTTCTCACTAATTGTTGTTTCATTCTTTCTAGGCTGAAGGCATAATTATGGTCTGTAACTCATGTCGACTTCGTCCTTCACTTTTTATTAAACTAGTAACAGCTTTGGATTTCAATTAGATCCCTGCAGTTGACACTCTCATCTCACTCTCTCTCTTTCTGCTTCTCTCTCTCTCTCTCTTTTAATTAAATTAGCCTTGTAGTCATTTCTGTGGCTGTTTTCAATGTTTTTTCCACCTCGTCCCGACATACGTCCGTTTTTCTTTTTCTTCTTCCTTACATAATGTTTGTCTTCGTCTTTTCCTATCTCTCTGCATACGTTAATTTCGGATGTTCACTTAGCTAGCTAGGTACCTTAGGTAGGCGTAAACAGGTCTATAGTTAATTTCATTCATTCTCGCACCCTTTATATCCGATTTGAAATGAATACCTCCCGTGTATTTCCATGGACACAGCGGCATGTCTAGGATACACAGAATAACATCTTCAGATAGGGAAAGTTACAAAAAATAAGCTAATTTTCTACATAGTCACCACCAATAGCTAAGTTCTTTTCCTCCAAAAGTAATGCCTCACAGAAAGTTCAGCATATACAATGCAGACGATAACACAGTTGGATAGAGTACACATACACAAACAGACACACACGTATATATATTATATATACAACATTATGCAAATTAATTAAAACAAAACGAATAATTTCGTTATTATTCAATATTTTTTGTATTTATCCAGTGAAAATGCCCCAGTGAACATGTTAATATTTTGTATGTCTATTCCACGAAGTCATTCCTTGTAGATTGGCCACAAATTCTCAATTGGATATAAATCAGGAGAGTTTCCAAGCCAATCTATAGTACTTTGATTTGCTCACTAGTAGGGTTTGCCAGTGTGTTCTTGCAGAATTACAATTTTTGTATGCTTCTTGGAGTAATGTCCCTCACAGACAATGGCCATAGGTCAACTAATCGACACTCGAGACAACCTATCTATTACTATATATATATATATATATATATATATATATATATATATATATATATATATATATATATATATATACATATATATAGCACTGTTATGATCTATCTATCTACTATCTATGCATCTATCTATCAGGATATATCACTGTTCTGATCTATCTCGCAGTCTGTCTATCTATCTAAATAGGCTCATATTATAGTAATCGACTCACACATGCACACACACAGCACACACACACACACACACACATATATATATATATATATATATATATATATATATATATATATATATATATATATCAATCTGTCCGTCTATCTACTTTCCTGAACTTGTTCATTTCTATCTCACTCGATTCATATTTATTTATCTCTTCTTATTTGTCTATCTTTCTATCTATCGAGCGATATATTCCTATATTTCTTTATCTATCTATATATATATATATATATATATATATATATATCTCATGCTCTTTATACATATCTGGTTCTGCTGATATCTATCTATCTATCTATCACATTTCCTTCATGTCTTTTCCTGTTGATCGGAATCATCCTAAGCAATGCAGTAATGCCACTAAAACACAAGGCATTACAGACTGTTGAAGAATTAGGAACAGAAATATTAATGACGAACGGAAAGAGATGAGAGTAATCAGGTGAACTTGTAGATAGCGATTGACATTGCCTATAAAATTTTGCAGATTGAATTTGGCTGGAATTCATGTAGCCGGGAGGGAAGTTACACAGGCAAGTAATGTTAAGGAAGACAATGTTAGCTTAGAATTTACGCCTACATATAGCCAGCTTAACTGTAAATTGATAAGATGTCGGCGACAGTTTAGTACTGAGCTTACATTTTTTAAAAGAATCTCCATATACCATAATAAAGATCTCATTCTATTAGCCTTGAAAGCATTTAAGGAAAAGACAGAGAGAGGCAAACTTACGGCGGTGGGAAAGTGACTGGAATTGAGCTGCAAGGTCAGGACCAATAATATTGCAGATTCTTCTTTAGATCTTATCAAGGAGCGCAAGCTAAATACCAGGGGCACTGGACTATATGTGTATATCTATATCTACATAGATGAATCCTAAGTATGGATGAATGATATACTTATAGATATGTAAGCTAGATTCTGGAAGAGTCCTATATAGTGAACCGACTTTCTTAGCAGCTGACCTAGCAGTCGATTTCCACTTCATTATTAGCAGAGAAGCTGAGCCCGAGGAGGCACAACGGGTCACTTTCCTGGAGTTTAGCATCAGCCATGCTGACAGAAGGCATCAAGGAGATTGTCTGATGATTAATAGAGAGGAGTTTAGTTTTGGAGGTGTTAAAATAAATAAGCCATATTTTGGCCCAGTGAACTCCGAACTTGAGGTCGTTTTGAACATCGGCTGCCATTTTGACCTTGTCAGACGGATAAGCCTCATTATCGAGCCAGTAGTAAATTGTTGTGATGTCTATGTTGAGGTCGTTTTGAACGTCGGCTGCCATTTTGACTTTGTCAGACGGATAAGCCTTACTATCGAGCCAGTATTAAATTGTTATGTTGTCTGTGTATATTCTAAGTTGAAAACTGATGTCACCAGGAAGGTCATTAATGAAAATTTTTAAAAATACAGTAAGACCAAAGATGGGGCTCTTGGGGACACCTTTAGTACGAAAGAATCTAGACGGGTTGCCGTTTATGATAATCTGTTAAGTCTTATATCAATCGCTCCATATCTATCTATCTATCTATCTATCTATCTATCTATCACACTCTTCCTATTTGTTCATATCTATCTCACTCGATTCATATCTATGTATGTATGTATCTTATATGGGCGAGAGGTTAGGACGTTCGCTTTTTGACCATGAGACCCGGGTTCGATTCTCACCATGGTCGATTTCTCATTAAGGCAACTTCCTGATGTTATTGGACTGGATAGAGGTCAATCCCAGCTGGCGACACCTGAAAACCATAACAAGGGTTGACCCAAGCCTTGTGAGTGAAATTGAAGCTTCGGAACTTGTGTGGGCCGTTGATAGCTGTGCTAGCACGAAGTCAAATCGTAGCCGATGGATTGTTCAAACTGCTGATCACGCTAGATAACACGCTCTCCCAGAAACTCTAACTAAGCTATATAAAACACAGGTGGGCTCTGTGGGTGTTGAGCAAATTGCAACTGTGCCTGAGCGAGCGTCTGCAATAGGGATGGCCCTTAATAGACGGGTATCCTTGAATACAAGTGGCTAGCTATGATTTCTATCTATCTATATATATATATATATATATTTATATATATATATATATATGCGTGTGTGTGTGTGCCATAACCTCTTCCTACCTGTTCATTTACATCTATCTAATTCTGTTTATAGATACCTAATTTTGCTCTCTATTACAGACTCTTCCCATATGTTCATATCTATCTCAATCAGTTCAAATCTATCTATCTATATACATATATACAGACATAGTTCAAATCTATATATATATATATATATATACACACACACAGACTCAAACGCACACACACACATACATGCACCCACACATATGTGAGTGTGTGTGTTTATGTCTATCTCATTCACTGCGTTTGCATCGTCTTCTTTCCATTTTTTTCACATATCGGCATTGGGATCTATCTAATCTTGGTCGGGCCCATCTCCCTAAAGTAAATCTCATTATTAGCAACTTCATGCATTATGAAATAAATGCAGTCGTAAACCATTTGTTGTGGCGTTATTTCGCAGTGGAGGCTTGTATTTGTACTAGATCGGTTCTAAAATAGGTTCGATGTACAAAACTTTAGGAACTTGATATAATAGGTATTACGCAGAGTAATCTTGTTGTGGTCGTTGATTACTTTCGTATTCAATTAACTGTCGTCCGACATCGACTGACCGTCGTTTCTATTACTACTCCTACTTATATTAGGTGGAAGAGTCTATTAACTATAGAATAGGTGTGTTTCCCCATAACACCATTTAGATATCTAGTCTTCTTCGCTCCTTTCTCTAGTCACTTGCTCAGTGATTGTAGAGTTTGTACTCGACAAGGATGAGTTCCTCTTTGCGACGGTTCTTAAGTTGTTTCTGACCTAATTTGACATTTTAAGACCGGGGAATGTCGTTTCCAGATAAGTAAACCACCACTAACAGTGGATTACCTACTTAACGCCGCTGGCGGGTACTGTATTTTGTTATAAAGAATACCATTTAATTTCCAAACTCCGATTTGATTATTCATCATTCAGTAACCCTTCTTAGGTTACAACAAAAAGAAAGTATTATATATCTTAACCTATGAACACCAATGAGTATCATCTAATCCTTATAAATACGTTGGACACTATTGTTAGTGGGGGTAATATACTGTTTACGTAGTCCACAACTTGCAGTTGTTTACCTACTTGACGCAGGCTGGCGAGTATAGTATTTTGTTGATGTTATAAAGATTATCATTTAATTTCCAAGCTCCGTTTTGGTTATTTCTCAGTCAGTAACATTTTCTAGGTTTCAACAATTACTAAAAAAAGTAAATAAAAATAAAGAAAATAAAAACGATTAAAATAAAAATATTAAAATAGAAAAAATAAAATTAAAATTAAAATATTAAAAAACTAAAAGTAAAAGACAATGTAATAAACAAATTATATAAATTTAAAAATATTAACGTCATAAAAAACTAGGAAAAACCGGCTTATTACCCCCCCACAATACGATCCTCGTGGTTTATATATATAGCGTCTGCGCTAACAGAAGTGACATGTAAAATAATGATCACTTTAAAGATGACAGTCACCAAGCAGTGTAGATCATTATGTCTACAATGTTTATATTTGTTTGTGTGTGTGTGTGTGTGAATCTAAGATTCGGCAATTTTATTCTTCTTTACATTACAAAATACTGTTATGCCTCACCTGCTATCATTACTTCTTCATTTTTAGCCCCGCCATATTTATCCGTAAATCTTTTCTTTTCTACCTTGAGGGCGTCGAAGTAATCTTCAACCGAGTCTTGTGTCTCTTGAGTTTATTTCTACTCGTGTTCGCTTTTCGTCAAGTGACTTTTTATTTCTCTTTATTCTTTCTTTCGTTTCTGTTATTTTTATCCATTTTTTATTCTTTTTTTGTTAATAAAATAGTTTTTTTTTTAAAATTAACAGAATGTTACTGTTACTATTTTAAGTCATATCGTATGTAGTATTTTTTTTCTTCCCAAACGTGTTTTTTTTTTATATATATATATTTTCAGGCAAAGGCCGGAAGGAGAAGAAAAGGATGTCAAAATTTACCTTGTTTTTAATTATCTTTATTCCTCTATCGTTCTGTTCAGCTTGCAAACACAGCCATCAAACTGAACGACATCCATGTTTCCTGCCTATTGGGATCGACAGGTTATTTCGGGATAGCGATGGCAAACCTAATACCACAATTATCCTCAACACCACCTGCAAGATCGTTGTAAGGCTTGTTTCTGGCGAAAAAAACATACAAACTTTTGCCTCCAGTTTATTAGCAAGGGCATCAGAATTCTTTATTTATTTACTTGTATCCTTTACGTTATCGTCTTTCTTTTGATGTCATCAGAATTAGAAATGTCTAAAATGTCTTGTGGGGAAAAAAAATCTTTTGTTTGTCGTATTTTCTCCAAGAGCTGATGTATATTTTTTCTCCAAAGACAATCTCTGAATTTGGTAATTTGTTTACAAGCACTTGGCAATCAGTTTAACCCCTACAGACACAAAACAGCAAATTAGTAGTTTGTTTGGAAGTTAACGCCGCAATTAGCAGATACGCGGATTGCGAACAAAATGGCATTCACATTTTACAAATGTTATATTTATTTTTTAAGAGGATAGGCAACGCCTAAAGCATAGACAGATATCACGAGGGACATCGATGTCTAATCGGCGAACCATGTTCAAATTCCAGCCTAGTGAACAAATGCCTTTCGTGGAAAAAAAAACGAATTTCTTCTCCCATTCAACTATGGGTTAAATAGCAAATAAGACTGGACGCTTGCGAGAATATAGTCTAAGTGAAGGAAAACACTTAACTCGAACCCATAGAAAAGATATCAGAATAAAATTCCACTGCCCAAAGAAGGTAATAAGGAAAAGAATTCAATGGCGTCCTGAATCACCTCTGCCGAGGAGAAACGTGCCGTTTTCAAAAGAAGGTAACATTAGTAGTATATCTAATCACAAATTTAGACGTCTTTCATATTTTAAAGGTTTTAATAAGAAAGTGTTACAAACATCTGCCTAAAAGAAGTCCTTCTTTCAAGTTGGTTAGTTGGTTAGTTGACTTTGGTTAGCGGCATAACAACATCTCTATGGGTTATTTATGCCGAAATCTAAATGTTTTTAACGCAATTTTCTGGCTTCAACTAAATATATTTTGAGTACAATTGTGTGCCTTCATCTACAGATAAATGTATTGTTAGTGATTTTGCTATAAATAGGTATTGTTAAGTTTTACTATCAAAATGTATTGCTGGTAATCATATATATATATATATATATATATATATATATATAGGTATTCCTGATATTTTTACTATAAAAATTATTACTATTGTACTTATATAGTTTTTATTTTTGTTTTTAATCAGTTTCACCCCAAACAAGGCTGTACAGCCACAAACACGGAAGGTGTTACAAGGTATTGAGGAATTAGGAACAGAAGCATGTTGCGTTCAATAATTTAGACATGTTCTATCTATTGAAGTACGAGAGAAAATCGCCGTGTTGTTACATATTTCTTTTATTCAATAACGACACCATGAATATGAAAGGATCCAGGAGACGAAAGTATTAAACGAGACATGTGTAAATGGAAACATTTTGCCAAAATAGTTGCATTATATATATATATATATATATATATATATATATATATATATATATATATATGGAGAAAATAGGAAATAACTCGTCAGGTAAATAATCCGAAGTTCTTTAGTATTTTGTTTTTTATTTTAAAAAAAACAGTGCTAGATACAAAAGTAGAGCCTAAATTATAATTATTTTTTTTAAATTTTCACATGAAGATGAAACAGAGCTTGATACTTTAATTCAATTTAATTCTAATAATTATATTGAAGTTTTTGGCTCTTGTTTTTGAAAACCTGAGAACTCTTATGTAGCGAAGGAATCATATTTTTAAAAATAATTATAATGTATTTATATATATATATATATATATATATATATATATATATATATATATATATATGTGTGTGTGTGTGTGTGTATAAAATTACTAGTTACCGAGCACACCCATCTGCAAGAGCAGATAGCCAGTCACTGTTGCAGGCATCTGCTAAAAATTCTTTTAATCAGTGACACTCCAAGTAAGGCAGTACAGCCACTAACATGTAAAGTGTTATAGAGTGTGGAGTAATTAAGGACAGAAATATTATAAATGAGTAGTATAATAAAATAGCTTTTAGGAGAATAGAAGATATTGATTGGCCTTACATTTAAATTCTTGCAGATTAAAGATTAGCTGGAAAGAATGGAGCTGGAAGGAATCTCCACAGGTGAGAGGTGCGATAAAATAAATTGTTAGCGTATAAGTTATGGCTGCATCTAACTAGCTCAACTGTAAATTGATGAGATCTCGCCGCCAGTCTCGTATTGCGCTTAAATCGATACAGTCTAGGTACCATCGCAAAGAGCTCATCCGAACCGTTACCCTGAAAGTATTTATAAAAAAATGTCACGGAGGGGCAACTTTACGGTGGTGGGCAAGTTATTTAAGCCGAGTAGCCAGATTAGGACCAATAATATTGCTCATTCTTCTTCGGATCT